GACAGCCAAGAAAGAATTCTTGAGACGTCTTTGGTGCACAAAGGTGGTTTTATTAGAGCACGGGGACAGGACCCATGGGCAGAAAGAGCTGAACCGGGGTCATGAGCAGTGGCCTGTTATATACTTTCAAGTTGGGAGGAGGTTAGGGAGAGCTTAAGTCTCTAAGGAATTTGGGAGCAAGTTTTCCAGGACCTTGAGGAGGCCAGCTGTTGTTAGGAAAAGGTCCTTTATTACCATCTAATAAAACCTGAGTCATGAGACCCTTCAGATGTATATCAGCGGGCTGTATGCTTGGGGGATGATTGCCAACATGTGTCTTCGGGGGTTTAGAGATAAAGGAAGTTTCCAGAGGAATTTTTTTTTTTTTTAAAGATTTTTTATTTATTTATTTGAGAGAGAGAATGAGATAGAGAGAGCATGAGAGGGGGGAGGGTCAGAGGGAGAAGCAGACTCCCCGCTGAGCAGGGAGCCCGACGCGGGACTCGATCCCGGGACTCCAGGACCATGACCTGAGCCGAAGGCAGTTGCTTAACCAACTGAGCCACCCAGGCGCCCCCAGAGGAATTTTTATACTTAAAGTAGACTCACAGGATCCTGGGGGGAGTCAGGCTAGGATTGCCTTTTGCCCTGAGCAAAGTATTAACATGGAGGCAGCTGAGTCCCTAGAGGAGGGTCACTCTGCCTGTTTCAGGGACTTGTCCGTGGGCTGTAGGGAGTAAGGAAATGTAATAAATTTTCTTCTGCCTCTGTTTCCCACACCAGTCATAGTTCATCGCGTGCTGGGGGCGGGGGGTGTGGTTTCCTCTTCTTGGACATTGATGGTTTCTTCCGTTTCCCAGGGTCCTGCACATGGCGGCAGTATTCCCTGAGGTCTGTTTTTTGGGGAAGGGCGGTACAGTCCTGACCCTTGGCCTTGGCCCTGTGCTGGTCTGTGGTGCCTGCTGGTGTTCAGGCTTTTTCCTGTATTCACCCACAGTTTGTGGCGGACACTCGCAGGATCGGCATCCCCAGAAGGGGAATTGTGGTGTAAGTGTGGTAATCCAAGTACTTCAGAAACTTTGCAGATAACTTGGGGTTTTTACTTGATGCTTCTTTTTAAAGGTTTGGGAGTTAAACTTATTTCAGGAGGGGGCGCCTGGGTGGCTCAGTTGGTTAAGCGACTGCCTTCGGCTCAGGTCATGATCCTGGAGTCCCTGGATCGAGTCCCGCATCGGGCTCCCTGCTCGGCAGGGAGTCTGCTTCTCCCTCTCCCACTCCCCGTTTGTGTTCCCTCTCTCGCTGTGTCTTTCTCTGTCAAATAAATAAATAAATATCTTTAAAAAAAAAAAAAAACTTATTTCAGGAGAGAAAGTTTATAAAAATATAAGAAACAGCGTCTGTGACTTGAAATACGATGTTAGTGTTGTGCTACGCATGCCCCGTCTTCTGACGATTGTGAGTCCGTTTTCTGTGAGCCGTCGCCTGAGTCCCGTGTGTCCTCGCAGCGAAGGTGCGTGGAGTGAAGGTGATCCAGTATTAACAGGTAGGTCTGTATGGAGGAGGGGCTCAGCGTTGACTCGGCCTCCTCGTTCAAGCAGGGTACCCTGGCTGCTGCAGAGGTTGGGGCCCAGCACCCCGCTCTTCTGGCTGAGGTGCAGGAGGAGGAGGAGTGCCGGTCGGGAGCATTGCCAGATCGCACGGCCGGACCGGACTTACTGCTGTCCTTTCTCACCTGCGAGTCAGGGAGAGATTGCACTCTGGATTAGTGGTGACACACAAAGTGAAAGCAAAGTATTGTCATTGCTAGGCAACTTTTTCATTCATTTTTTTCTATTCGAATTGGATGGTTATCATACCTTTCCTGCTAAGAAGTTGTCAAGTATTTTAAATCTGAGAAAGTCTGGGTCTTATTGCCATGCTTTGGTGACTCAGAACCCACATCACCGCTTGTCTGGATTCAAGTAGTCTGTTTTCATGGAGGAATGTGCAGGATGAGTGAACACTCCACACCCGCTCTTACGATTTTTAATGTAGCTTTATTGTGGTTTTTTAACAACTTTATTGAGATATAATTTACATACCATAAAAATCACTCTTGTTAAGTAGACATTTCCGTGGTTTTTTAGTGTATTCACCAGATTGTGCAAGTGTCCCTGCTGTCTACTTCCAGAACATTCAGCTCACCACAAAAAGAACTCCCCACCCCTTAGCTGCCTCTCCCATCCCCCAGCCCCTGGCAGCGCTAATCTTTCTGTTTCTGTGGGTTTCCCTTTTCTGGACCTTATAGACGTGGAATCGTACAATACGTGCGATTTCTTTCAGCACAATGTTTTCTAAGTTTATAGATGTTGTAGCGTGCATCAGTACTTGCTGTTAGCTTTTGATGTATCTTCTGTCTCTCTCATTTTTCTAGTTTTCCATTACTGCCTTCTTTTTATTTTAATTTTCTTGATGTTTACTTTTGTATATGTTTTTAAAATTATTTTCTTAGTGCCTGCCCTGGGGATTACAGTGAACACCTTATAACAGTATAGTTCAGATTAATACCATCTTAATTTTAATAGTTTACAAATCTATTCTCCTATGTAGCCTCAGTCCCTTTCCCTTGTGCTGATACAGGCTACGGCTATATCCAACTTACGCTTATTGATTTATTCAGTTTTTTTCTAAATCAGAAGAAAAAAATTACCAAAATTATGTTTATTTTGTCTTTCAGTTTACTTGTTCAGTCACCTTTACCACGTTCTTCATTTCTTCATGTGGATTCAAATTCACGTCTAGTGTCCTTTTACTTTAGCTTGAGGACCCCCTTCAGCATTTCTTCAGGGCAGGCCTGTTAGTTATGAATTCTCTCAGTTTTCATTTACCTGGGAATGTTTTAATTTCTCCCTCATTTTGGAAAGAGTTCCTTTCTCTGGATATCGAATTCTTGGTTAAGTCTTTTTCTTCCAGCGCTGAATACATCACCCGAGTGCCTTTTGCCCTGTGTGGTTTCTGAGAAGTAAGCAGGCTGTTGATCTTACCTTGAGGATGGCTTGTGTTGAGCCACTTTTCTTGCTGCCGCCTTTCACAGTTTAATTGGGATGTGTCTTGGGGTGGATCTCTTTGAGTTTATCCTACCTGGGGTTAGTTGGGCTTCTTGTGTTTGTAGATTAATATTTTTTCATCCAAGTTGTGGTTTTTGGCCATTATATCATCAAGCAGTCTTTCTACCCTGTTCGTTTCTCCTCTCCTCTGTGACTCCCATTATGTGTATGTTGGTCTTTGAGGGTGTCCCACAGACCTTGGAAGCTCTATTTGCTTTTCTTTTTTTCTCTCTCTCTGTTTCTTTCTTTTAAAATATTTATTTATTTAGAGAGAGAGGGAGAGAGCGAGCAGAGGGAGAGAGCGAATCTCTGAGATCATGGCCTGAGCTGAAATCAAGAGTTGGACACTTAACCAGCTGAGCCACCCGGGTGCCTTTCTATTCACTTTTCTTTATTCTTTTTTCTTTTTATTTTCCACACTGAGTGATCTTATTTGATCTATCTTCATATTTGCTGATTCTTCTGCCCATTCAGATTTACTGTTGAGCCTCTCTAGTGAATTTTTCATTTTAGTAATTGTACTTCTCAGCTCCAGAATCTCTCTTTAGTTCCGCTTTCTCCTCTCCTTATTGAGGGGCTCTGGTTGGGGCATGCTTTCAGTGCTCTGGCAGGCAGCTTTCTCTTACTTAGCTTTCACTTTGTGTGTGTGTGAGGTAAACGAGGAGTGAATTCTTAGAGCCTTCTCAGGTTTTCCTTGATAAGTACACAGCCCTATACCTGCTTTCTAAATTCCCAGGAATATGTTGGAGCCTTTCAAAGCTCCCTGTTGGTATCTCATTCTCTAGTGTTTTGTTTTAATTTATTTGAGAGAGAGGGAACAGGCAGTGGGGGTGGGGGGCAGTGGGAGAGAGAGAGAAAGAGAGGGAGAGGGAGAAGCAGACTCCCCGCCGAGCAGGGAGCCCGACGCGGGGCTCGATCCCAGGATCCTGGGATCATGACCTGAGCCAAAGGCAGACACATAACCGACTGAGCCACCCAGGCGCCCCTAGTGTTTCCTTTTAAGTTTTATGTTTTCCTCTTATTGGCTCCAACTGTGATCAGTTTATCAGTTTCAGGCCACTGTGATGTTGAACAGTGGCTGCTGATGGATTTTGTTAAATGGCCTGGGGATAGGATTGTTGACGAGTGAGCCCTGTGAGATCATCTTTGAGAACGGAGCTTTTTAGGGAGCTGCAATATAGGCCAGTTAGTGACAGTTGCCGGGGTGGTGCTTTTGGGGAGATCCAAACCCATTTTGTCCCCCCAACCCTTAAGACCGCTGGCCTGCTGTTTTCGAAGCTATACCAGAGATTGGAGTGATGGCCTTAGGGCAAGTTTAAATACCTCAAAGCTTGCTCTTTTGATGGAGACTCAGACTTTGTTTGTAGTAAACTCCGGATTGTTACAAGTCTCTCTGAATTTCCAGAGCTCTGAAAAAGTTGATTTTTACAGTGTTTGTCAGTGTTCTCAGTGCTTTTATAGAGGAATACATTTTTGGAGGTCCTTATAATGCCATTTTGGAAGTGCTGCCTCTGTATTTGTTTTGTTTTGTTTTGTTTTAAGCTTATTTCATTAATAATTTGTTAGGTGAACCTTATGAGAAACAGTTTTTATTATTTAGGAAGAAATAGGGTTTATGTTTTAAAACCAAAGGAATTTAGGTTTCTAAATATCTTGGATTCTGATGGTCATGATAGCCTGGTGATGGATAATTTCTTCATGTGATCATTTGGGAAAGGCAGCGAGCTGTCGTCTTTATGTTCTGTATGAGAAGCACCTTTGAATACATGTTCACTCTGGCTTTGTCCCTTTTGATCGCTGCTCTTGGCACAGTATGGACTCAATAAATATTTGTTGAATGAACTGTGGTTTAGCAAACAGCAGAGAAATGGAACAAAGCATAATTTTTAGATCTTAGTGGCATTTTTGTTGTTTTTGTTAATTACTTTTATACAGGGTGAATTTGAAAGTGAAAAGAAGGAAGTTGCTTTGCATGAAAAGGAGGAGATACATAGGCTGGAGTATGAGCAAGCACAGTCTCTTTACCAAAAAGAGAAAGAGTCTTTGTTTCTGCAGCTTCAGGAGAAGAATAACCAAATTCTGCAGGTATGTGGCACATGTTTTTTCTTTGTTATTACTTTCTTGTGTGTGGTAAAATACGCATAACATAAAATTTACCATTTTAATCATTTTTAAGTATACAGTTCCGTGGTATTAACCCTGTTCACATGGTTGTGCAACTATCACCACCATCCATTTCTAGAGCAGCTCATCATCATCACAAGCAGAAACCCTGCCCCCATCACCGCTAGCTCCCCATTTCCCTCCCTCCAGCCCCTGGCACCCACTCTTCTACTTTGTGCCTCAGTGAATTTGACCACTTCCGGGACCTCCTGCAAGTGGGATCATACAACACTTGTCCTCTGGTGTCTGGTTTATTTCGCTCAGCGTAATGTCTGTGGGGCCCATGCATGTCAGAGTGTGGGTCAAAGCTCCCTGGTTTTTTGTGGCTGAGTAGTAACTACTCTGTCACATGGAGATGCCACATTGTATTTCTGTCTTCACAGGTGTGTGTGCCGATAGACCTCTAGATGTTGGTTTCTCCCTCTTGGCTGTTACGAGTGCCGTTGCTCTGTGTACAAGTGCTGCTGTCGGTTCTGGGGTGCGCGTCTAGGGACAGGACTGCTGGGTCGTACGGCGACCGGTCTGTGTCCTGAGGGTTGCCATACTGTCCACACCGGAAGCCCCCGCTTAGGTTCCTTCCAGCTGTGCACAGGGTTCCAGTTTCTCCACAGCCTCACCAGCGCTCGTTTGCCACCTTCTCTGTTTATAATCGCCACCATAGCAGGTGTGATGTGGGATCTCGTCGACCTCATCGTGGTTTTGATATGCGTTTCCCTGATGATGAGTGATGTGGGGCATCTTTTCCTGAGCTTATTGGCCATTTGTGTGTCTTTGAAGAAATGTCTGTTCAAGTCCTTCGACGGTTTTTGAATTGGGTTTGGTTTTTTGTTGTTGTTGAGTTTATTATTTCCTTTGTGAGTATAGATGTATCATTTATACTATTTTCTTTTTTTTTTTTCCCAAGTGGGCTCCACACACCATGTGGGGCTTGAACTCGTGACCCTGAGATCAAGAGTCATATGCTCCACCAGCTGAGCCAGCCAGGCGCCCCTATTTATACTGTTTTTTGAGATAGTCCCACAATGTAGACCTTTCAGGATCGTAATAATCATGTTTCCTTTTCTTTCTTTTTTTTTTTTTTTAAAGATTTTATTAACTTATTTGACAGAGAGAGAGATAGCGAGTGAGAGAGAGTGCACAAGCAGGGGGAGCAGCAGAGGGAGAGGGAGAAGCAGGCTTCCCGCCGAGCAGGGAGCCCGATGCGGGGCTCGATCCCAGGACCCCGGGATCGTGACCTGAGCCGAAGGCAGACGCTTCACGACTGAGCCCCCCCGGGGCCCCCAGAAAAAACGTTTTGCTAAGATATTTGTTCGTACTTCTCTCTCTTTGGATCGGTGTCGCTAGAGGTGTATCTATTGGGTTTTTCGACTGGGGAAAACCCAGTCACCATGTACTTTTTTGTGAAAGGGAGGTAGCAGGACGGGCAGAGGGAGAGTCTGTCCCGTAGACTCAAAGACGGGACCAGCCGCTGCGGTGGCCTGTACTGCTGGCCGTCACAGGTGTGGCTGCCTCACCCCATGTCCCATGCAGCCGACATGGGAACGGGGCTCCGTGCTGCGCGTGCGGCAGGCATCTGCCGTCTGCTCACACCCCACCAGCTGGGGCCAGGCCATGCCTGGAGCCATCTGCACACCGGTTTCCTGTGCTGGCAGCGTTTGGGTTCACTGTTCGTCTTCTCTTTTGTTTGTTTGTGGTCCTTATTTGCCATCTTAGTGTGACCTAACCAGTGGTTTATAATTTCCCTACAAGCATAGCATTGAAATTATGTTTACAGTTGGCTTTCTTTCCTGTAATAAGGGGTTTCAAAATTACACTCTTATTTTATCTGGTCTTTGTTTCCTTTTTGTACTTTCTAATGTTTTATGGGTCCCACTCTGGTATTCTCTTACCAGTTTTCTGCCCCATGCAAACCTGCTTTTCCTGCTCCTGGATGAAGAGATGTCCATGCCAGCTGGGTGTGCCCCAAGCACACGGCTTCTCCACCTGGAGTCCACTTGCTTTTGGGCTCCACCCGTCTGATCCTGAGCTGGAGGTGGCAGGCATGTCACGCATTGGCCGGTGCACTGCCCACAGCAGCTGTGAGCAGCCATTGTTCTTGACTCTTGACAGAGGTGTGGGACAGGCACGCGGTCTGCCTGGCTCTCTGCTGCATGTGTGTGCAGTCATGCCCTGTCATGTTCTCTGTTCCTTCATCTTCTGTGGGAAGATGCCCGTATTCTTGTCAGTAAACTCAACCAGCATGGAAGAATCAGGGTGGTTGGCAGTGGGCTCAGGTCACTCTGTTGCTGGGAAGACACACTTGTCATTTCACTAAGCTGCGTGACAAAACCACAATGACCTGTGGTCAGTGCTCAGGAGCCTGGGGAGCCCAGGGCAGCCAGGTGCCACCCAACCAGCCAGGCCACTGAGACCCTGAGATGGTTGACTTTTTTTTTTTAAGATTTATTTATTTATTTAGAGAGAGAGAGAGAGAGTGCATGCACGAGTCGGAGGGGCAGAGGGAGAGAGAGAATCTCAAGCGGACTCCACGCCGAGCACAGAGCCTGACTGGGGCTCTATCCCAGGACCCTGTGATCATGACCTGAGCCGAAACCGAGTTGCATGTTCAACTGACTGCACACCCAGGCGCCTCTCTTGGCTCTTTTTTCAAGGAGAAATATATAAGCATGATCTTCACTTGCCTGGAAACTAGTATTTATTCTAAATGACCATAAAAGAGATTTTGAGTTCTTATTCATGGGAATAATCTCTGGTGAATTTGCCCCTTCCCCCTGGTGCCTGGGGCAGGCTAGAATGTTTGTGTATTCTGTTTTTGTAGGCAATGAATAATGGTGGGGGTGGGGGGGGACCCTATTAGTAATTTTCACCTTTAATCACTGTCATATTTTGCCATATTTTTGTTAACTGCGATGATGAGTGTTTCTTACAGAAGTTTATTCCTAAAAATAAAGCTGTAACAATTTTTCCTCAACAGCTGAAAGACAAAATTTTATCCTTAAGTCACGAGGTAGAAGAGCGCCATTCTGAAGTGGAGAAGCTACAGCAAAGGCGTGACAGGGAAAACCAGGAAGGCACAAATCTCATCTCGATGCTCAAGTCCGACATTGACCTGTCTGACCGTGAAAGGTCAGTCACTCGCCTCTGTCACCTCTGCCCTGGTGCACAGAGATGCCGGGCAGGATGGAACCCTGTGCCACATTATTCTTCTCTTTCAAAAAGACTTTAAACATCAAGAAAAGTACTGACTGATGTAAGATGCCCATATACCTGCCACTCACTTTGCCAAATCTTCACATTTTGCCAGACTGCAAGATTTGGTGCTGTAAGTGGTGTTAACCTTAAAATTAAATTGCCAGGTTTTTGTTTGTTTGTTTTCCCAGCAACAGGTGGGCTTGTTCAGGAATAACAGAATCGCAGTACAGGACACGCTGACGGGTGCATCGCAGGGAGCCAGTCTGGAGGGCGGGCGAGGAAGCTCTTTTATAGAGGGGAGGGGGTCTGGGCCTGTTGTAAACAAAGTCCATTGGAGTGAACTGGGTGTTGGAAGTGGTTTCTCATTGGCTGCGTTGTGATTGGCTCCCATTGGCTGAGCTGTTGCTGGGCGGAAGGAAACCTGCTTCCTCCTGCCTGGGCAGTAATGTGGAATCTGGTGGAGGTGCCTCTTGCTGACAGGTCTGCGGCCAGTAGGGCTTGAGAGCTCCCCCTGTTCTGATCGGGTTTCCTGTTAATTTTTACAATTTGCCCCTTTTGAGCAGGATCTTTCCTTGGAAGCATTGCTGATCAAGAGTCAGGCGTTTCATATTTAGTGGTCTTGTCCCTCAGTGCCAGGAAGGACTTTCCTGGTTGTTCTGTCTTACATCAGAAGTGCTGGCTGGAGGGGTGCCTTGGGGGGCTCCGTCGGTGAAACGTCTGCCTTTGGCTCAGGTCATGATCCTGGGGTCCTGGGATCGAGCCCCACATCAGGCTCCCTGCTCAGTGGGAAGCCTGCTTCTCCCTCTCCCTCTGCCTCCCCCTCTGCTTGTGCTCTCCCTGTCAAATAAATAAGTAAAATCTTTTTTTTTTTTTTTTTTAAAGACTGGCTAGAGGGCCCCCCCGCCCCGCCCCACCAGTGTCCTGGCTCTTTGCAGTAGCAGAAACTATAAGTTTTTTGGTTTTCTTTAGGGGCCTTGACTTGCCAGATTTGAAAGTTGAGGATTTTAGCAGTTTCTTAGGTGACTCCTGTAGGGTGTAAGCAGCTGGTTTGCCGTAGTCCCTGAATCTGGAGCGGGCAGTTTCCCATTCTGTCCTGGTCCTTTTTAAGAGAAAGATCCCAGTTCAGCCTGTTAAAAAATAGAGTTAAATGCTACCCAGGTGGATTCGACATCTAAAGAAAGACTAGAATGGTCTCAAAAGACCATTTGGAGTCCATTGTAATGGTCGTGAAGAGGTTTATTAGGCTCTTGTGTACAAGCCTGAGTTTTGTTCCCATCAGCAGGCTTCGGAAAAGCTACCGTACCTGCTCAGTGATTTCCAGCGTGTGTTCTAGCATCCTGACGGAAGTTGATGCTAGATTCTCTAATCCCCCTTGGGATGTTTCCTTTGGGCTAGTTTCATCCGGTGTTTGGCATGGCCCTCACCAACAAGCATGTGGACTAACTGATATAAATGTGAGAAACCAGGTTGGTAAGTTTGAGTAACTCTGCTAAATTCTTCAGCAAACCTATCGGAGCCCTTAGTTACTTTAGGAAGCTCTTTTAACTATGGCTCGCAATTTGGTCTTGTCCAGAGAACATAAGAAGCTTGAGGTCTGTGTAGATCCTCAGAAGACTTTAGAGAGGCAGGTTTTAATAGGTTCAGGAGAGGAGGAAGTGGGAAGAAGGTCAGAGGAAAAGGAAGCTTGGCAGAGAGAATAGAGGAAAATGGCACTGGGGGCAGGACCCCAGTACTAGTTCATCCCAGCGTGTCTGCAGAGGGGTTGGGGGGAAGGTCAAGAGGCCTCAGAAGCCATTCTGACTTCTTTTAATTGCTTGCTTCAGTTTATTTATTTTTTATTTATATTTTTTAAAGATTTTATTTATTTATTAGAGCGCACAAGTAGGCAGGGCTGCAGGCAGAGGGAGAAGCAGGCTCCCCGCTGAGCAGGGAGTCTGACGCAGGGCTCGATCCCAGGACCCCGGGATCATGACCTGAGCCGAAGGCAGACGCTTAACTGACTTAGCCACCCAGGCATCCCAGTTTGCCTCAGTTTAGAAATATTTTGTAAAGAAGCAAACAGAATCCCGAAAACATCTGGAAGCCTCCAAGATACCATTTAAAATGGGCACCCCTTCATGGGGACTGGAGCCATCCTGGCCTGGACGGGGCGTGAGGAGGTGGGGCCAGCTCTGAGGGGGACTCGTGATTTCTCAGAGCAGAGCTGACACCTACGCTCCCTGACCCACCGTATCCGCGGTCATCCTCGTGCCTGCCTCCGCCCGCTGCCCCCACAGGGCCTTCTCTCCTGTGCCTGCCTTGCCTTCTGTCTTCAGGTCTCGGTCGCCACCTGTGGCGGCCTGGGCAGCAGCAGGGAGCCGTTGGGCCCCCAGCTATCCGTATGCTCCGTAGTCTGCCCCGCTGCTTCCTTCCCACCCTCCTTCCTGTGTCTCTCCCCTGGTGCCTTAGCCCTGTAAGGGGCAGCTCCCCGTGTGTTTTGTTCAGGGGCGTGTCCCCATGTTGGGAGCAGACCTTGTTCCAGGCCCATGATGGGGATGCGAACGTGGCAATGGATGGGGGTGGATGAGCCTGTCTCCTGCCCACTTGGCCCTGGCATCTCCCCGGTGTAAGGACCCTGCACTGGCTCCAGCTCACACGCAGGCTGCAGCACTTTGCCCCCGGCTATATCCTGCACAGGGTCACTGTGCTCTGGACGGACAGGGCCATGTTGGTGGGTGGAGGGTGACGGAGGCGTCAGCTACAAACAAGTGCTAAAAAGGCACACAAGCTCGCCGTGGAGACCTGTCCTCCTGAGGGTCAGGAAGGCTGTGAGTGGGGACAGGGACCCGCTAAAACTAGCAATAAGATGACGTTTTTTTAAGTCAGGGGCAGCAGCCCAAAGGTTTGGTCTTGTTGGCAGAGCTGCCCCCTGGGCTGTGCCCCTCTTGTCGGAGTCAGACAGTTAGGGTCATGGCTGACAGCCCGCTGTCTGCTGTGTGCTTTGTTCAGGAGAGCGCTCCGAGATGCTCTGCGGAGGCTGCTCAGTTTATTTGGAGAAATGCTGAAGGCTGCCATCACCCTGAAGAGCCGGATCAGTGAGCGCGTGGGGCTCTGTCTGGAGGATGAGGGCCTACCTGATGCACGGCCCAGTGGCCAGGCCCTGTTTGCAGGTGAGTGCCAGGACAGCCCAGTGCCTGCAGCCCCTGGGCTGGGGCGCTCGGTGCTGTCCTCCTTCCCTGTTGGGGCTGATGCTTGAGCTCCTGATGCTTGGGATGGGTCGTTGTCCTGGGGACATGGGTGTGCTTATCCTTCGACAACACTGGTCGTGTGAGCTTGCTTTTCACGCGGTATATGCAGGTTTCTGTGTTTGCTCACTTTGCAGTACCAGTGCTTGATGAGACGTGGCCTGGGTCCGAGGCAGCCCTGCTGGAGCTGGACAAAACTTTGTCTGAATGTGTGGAGATGTCTTCAGACGCTGAAATTAGCAGTCACATCTGTGAAAGCTTTTTCATGAGCCCAGAAAGTTCGCTGGAGTGTGAGCAGCCAATTAGGAGAATTTACCGGAGCCTTGGCCTGGCGGTGGATGGCCTGCTGGAGCTGGCTCTGGACTCTACTAGGCAGGTGAGACATGGCTCTGGGTGCTGTCCGTCCGTGGCCCTATTTTGGCTCCTGTAAGTGTTTCTCTTTTTCTGAGAAGGATAATGGGTTGAATAAGTGGATAGTTTGAGTGGTTTGGTGGCATAACCTTGATAGATGAGGATGGCGCAGCTCCCAGGCGCTCCGCTGGGCACCGCACATGCGTGTTTCTGATTCTTGACTGTAACCTGCAGGGTGAGAAGGGGCGTTGGCACTTTCCAGGTGGATCTGGCTTCCCTCGCTATTCTTTCCTCCTCTGGGCATTGGGGGCAGAAAATCAGTTCTGTTTGGATCTTCTGTTACTACCACTGATATTCTCCTGTGTGTTTTTCCTAAGCAGAAGTCTTTTCTGAACCGAAATTTTGGAAGCAGTAGGCTTGCTGCCAATGGAAAGTAAGAGCTGAGTGTCAGGTCAAGGACACATGGTTCGGTCTTTTACCTTTACTCTGCTTTGTCCTCTGACCATTTTAATTTCACATTGAATATATTTATGTTTAGAGATTATCACTAGCAAAGGGAATTATGTTTGTTAATCTTTTAGAACATTTTAGACAGGAAAGACCTTAAATATGAATGTATGAAAAGCAGTATGGAGATTCTTTTTCCCGTTCAGCCCATTTAGAAAATAAGCATTTTTAGCTGAAACATTGCTGTTTACATCCCAGAAATCCTTGAATAAGTTTTCCCCACCTGGTGAAGGTATGAGAAGAGGGAGCCTTGGGGCTATTTTCAAGGGGAAACCCGTAGATGCCCTCAGAGGCAGGGTCTGGGGAAGCTGGAGTTGCATTAAGTAGGAAGGAGGCAGAGAGGCCCAGGGTAGGTGCTCAGGTGTCTGTCGGCACAGTTGGGTGTAGGTGTTTGAATTCAGAGGTTCGTCTGGGGCCCCCAGCCTGTCGATGGCCTGGGAGCCTTGGGCTGGGCAGGGTGGGCACGGCTGCCGGGGGAGGAGGGTGAGATTGGGGCCTGGGACTGAACCAGGCCTGGGTGGCATCAGAGGAGGCCCAGAGGGGCCTTGTGGTGACTGAGTCGGGGAGGGTCTGCTGGTGGTAAAGACGCGTCAGGCCCCCTGCCCACTCTGGTGACCGGCCCACGATGCCTTTCCTCCCGGCCACGGCCTCCCCATCTCCTCCTCCACCTGTGGAGTGCCAGGTGGTCATCCCTGCCCAGGTTCTAGGATCTCAGTGCACAGTTGCTGTGACCTTTGAAATGCACCTTCTCCTAACAGCTTATTCCGATAGTTGATGAACATGTAGATTTTCCGTGCCGCGTCGTGTTTGTGTGCAGAATTTTTCCTTCTTGAAAATCGTTGAATGAGCAGATTGGTCTAGTAATTGACACAATATTGAACGTCAGTATCGTTTCTTACAGGATATTTGTGGTTTTATCAGAGTTCTACTTGTGCCAGAATTCTAATTCTGTTAATGTTAACGTCGGCTTTATTTTGATGTGCAGTTCCGGTTTTCAAATGTGTTTTAACAGCTGGAGGAAGCACGTCAGATTCATTCTCGTTTTGAGAAGGAATTTAGCTGTAAGAACGAGGAGACCGCGCAGGTCGTTAGAAAGCACCAGGAGTTACTGGAGCGCCTGGATGAGGAGAACGCGGCCCGCACGCGGCTGACGCTGGAGCTGCACCAGGCGCAGGGTGAGCGCCGGTCGCGGGCGGGGAAGGGCCGCAGGGGCCACACAGGCCAGAGGCACGAGGGAAGGGCAGGTGTTAGCAGAGGTTTTAAAAGCAAAATGTAAAACTGAAATAAGGCATGGTGTGAGGCCTCAGTGAAAGAGCTTACAAGCGTAGTAGCGCCGCTCCCTGGGCTGACAGCCTCGGCCTTGCCTCGTGTGGTGAGACGAGGGTGTCGGTCCTCCCTTCGCAGGCGGTGGGTGCCCCAGAAAGTGGCATTCCTGGCCCCTCTGACCCCCACACTGCTGGGGTTGTGCACGCGTGGTGTGGGGTGTCTTGTACGTGGCCGTTCTAAGGCGTGTCACCTTGTCTGGTGGCTCCCACGCCTCCTGGGTGGACAGGAACGGGACACGGGCGTGACCACTCAGCTCTCACGTCCCACGGCTGACATCTTGCTGGGGCTGGGATGCCCTCGTCTGGCCCATCCTTTTGCTCCTCCAGCAAGGCCTCAGCAGCTGGGTCTGTCCCCGTCTCCTCAGGCATCATCGAAGGGTTCAAGGTGGAGAAGGCCAGCCTGCAGGAGGCTCTGGGCCAGAAGGAGACGGCCGAGCAGGGCCTCGCTGTGGAGCTGGAGAGCCTGAGGCAGCAGCTGCAGCGGGCGACCCAGCAGCAGGCAGAGCTGAAGGAGGAGAACTCCGCCCTGTGGACCCAAAAGGAGGCCTTGGCCGCAGAAGCGGAAGAGAGAGAAGCTGGTAAGAACTGCCGGCTCCGGGGTTGGAGGGCGGGACCAGGGGCAGCAGTCTCGATGCCTTTTGCCGACGCTCACTCTGGTGGAGGGCAGAGGAAAGAAGGCAGGGGCCCTGGGCTGAGGGGCCTTGTGTGTGCCGGCTGGCGCAGCGCCCCCCGCATTGCTACTCCGTTAGAGGGGCTGATCGCCCTGGTGGCCACTGAGCGTTCTTACCTGTGTGAGGTCAGAATCACTTCTGGCAAACAGCAGCCTACTGAAAACATCATCGTTGTCAGTAAAAGAGCTTTTCACTGTTTGAGGCAAATAACCAAGACTGGGAAAATGCGGGCTACTTAAAATTTTTATTTAAAATTTTAAAAAATCGTGTGACATTAATCGTAAGTAGGAAAACGTAGTTGTAACGAAAGTTCGTTGTGATTTCAGGTAATTAGAGGTTTCGTATTTAAAATATTTCAAGTATGAACAGTCAAAACGTGAGGAGTTCAGATTGTTGAGTTGGCAGGTGGCAGAATCGGAAGAAGCGGCTCTGCATGGGTGCCCCAGAAGAACCCTTGGCTTCTGCCCCGCTTCTCTCCCCACCTGCCCTCACCCCAGCCGGCTTCGGTGCGTGTCCCCGTCTTCCACAGGCCTGGAGCGGGCTGCCCCTGGCTCCTGGGTTCTGGCTCAGACGGGTCGTAGTGCGCAGGTCTCCTTTGTGGGGCAGCCTTAGCCGTTTTTGTGCCACCCTGAACAAGTTGGGAAAGTGGTTTTTCTTTTCTTTTTAATTTCCCGCAATACACAACCAGCTCTTGGGGTTGCTGATCATCGCCCTTTTCTTTGTCTTCCACTCACTGGTTTTTGGCCTTGTCTTTATTCTTTCTGGCCTTCTTCGTCCTGTGAGCTCTCTTGGGTGGGCGCTTACTGGTGCTGAGAAGCAGGTCCCATGGCCGTGGTTTCTTGAGGCAGAGTGACTTGTCAGTGGCTCTTGGTTTTCACCCACGTGGGATGTTGCGGAAGGTCTGTGTGTAATCATTCGAGACCTCTTCTTGCTTGGCTCTCTTTTGATAACATCTGTCTACCTATACGTATCTCTGTCCCTTTTCCACTTTTTGAGGTAAATTTCTGATGTTGAAAACTTAACCCGGCTTTGTTTTTTCTCTTGTGTGTCATTTTCACCCTTTATTTTAAGCCTCTTTCCCCCTTCAGCTGTGTCTCTTGTGGATCTCATGTTAACGTGACTTCTGAGAAGCTGATGCGCGGTGTCTCCTGTTGTGTTTTGTGGCTGTGCCCGCAGCCTCTCGGTCCGCCTGCGCTCTTCTGGTGACCTGCTCTCCTTCCCGTGTCTCTCTGGGTGGAAGGGACTTTCTTCTGCTGACCGTAAGCTGTGCATCCAGTTCTCCTTCTGTGTTTGCTCCTTCCTCGTTCATGCCACTGAGCCTGTCCCGTTCTCCTCTGCTCTCGTCTCTGCCTGGTGCCCAGCCATCCTGGTGTCAAGCGAGGCTCCATTCATGCATGAGAGCATGTGTGCACGTGGGCAGTTGCGTTAGCAAGCATATGTGTGAGCGAGCCTGTGAGCCTGGGCATGCACCTGTGTGTGTGTGTGAATGTGTGAGTGGGTGTGCGCCTCCCTATGAGCCTGTATGAGCACATGAGTGTGGACATGTTCCTGTGTGAGAGTGGGCACGTGAGTGTGGGCGTGCACCTGTGTGAGAGTGAGCACGTGAGTGTGGGCGTGCACCTGTGTGAG